GACAATAAATGGATGCATTCATTTTAACAGTTCAAAAGATTGTGTAGGGCAGTGGTTTTATAAGTGGTATGTTTTATCTCAGCTTATATTTTCTCTGAATAGTTGCTTTTCTTTATTCTTTAACGTTAGGAAAAGACAAAATTATATTTGCGACCAAAGAGGACCATGCAACACCAAGCAATGCTGAGCTAGTTGCAGATGACCCCAATGACCCCTATGAAGACCACGGTCAGTATTTTTTGACAGATTGCTGGGGGGAGGAGGAATATTTTTTTATGTTTAATAGTCTAATAGTCTCCATTCAAGTTGATAGAACAAGAGCACATCCTCAGTGAATCCTTAAAACCTCAGTTAGTAGCACTGGAAATTGGACTTCATACAACTCAGGTGTCAGCTTCACGTACTTGCCATTTGATGAAGTCCTAGGCTTTGTGCAGCTCTATATTGTAAGCTTAACTTAAAAACCAAGGACTTCTAGATCTGTCTGTGATACCAATTAGAGGGGGGATTAATGTTGCTGAACCCCATAGAGGAGGAGAGTAAATCTCTAACTTTATGTACTGCAAGCTCCCTAATCTTGATTTTTACCTACAGCATTCCAACACTGCTGTAAAACTCTGTAAGCCATTGTTATGTGTGCTGTGTGTTGCACTTGTAGTCCAGGCTCCCCCCTCTCCCCCCACCTTTATTCTCTCTGTTAACATGGTCAAACCTTGAGTCACAGAAATCCTTAGGTTTTGCATTTGTGTATTGTTTTTTTGTCTCCTGTATAGTCACTCCTAATACCAGTGTCTGGCATTTTTAAAAGAGTCTAAGGAAGGTAATGGGAGTTGGCTACCTAACTTTTTAGTAAGGATTGGGAATCTAAAACTGCTTTCCTGCCCCTAAACCTTGCATAGTGCCAGCTTTACAAAGATACAGTTCTCGGCCACACCCACTGATTTAAGAGACAAGAAGCTTCAGTTTGGGATTTAAGTTTGCCACATTATCATGCAGTACTGATGCTAAACAGTACTGATTGCATGAATTTTCCATTTTTACTATTCCTACTTATTATTTTTTTGAGGCAGAATAGTATGGTATTAAGCCTTATAAAAGTTCTGGTTGCCTAGCACAATTTTTTTTAAATGGGTAAATTAAAGCATCCTAGTTCATCATCAGAGTAAAGGCTAAGTGGGTAGATTTTTTTTGCCTATGTTAATGAATTCTCATTATGATTTTTAAGACTAAATGAGGAATTTATTAGCTCAGTTCTGTATTCACCAAACCTGTAAGTCAGAATTGTCAAATGTGAATGCCTGAAATTAGGCTTCTAAATAAAAATGACTTTTTTTCTTTTTAGAGGTGCTGGTAACTTGCAACTCTTACTGAAATTAATTAGAGTTTAGGATGATCTGCAGCTCTGAAAACTGAGTGATGTTTTTAGGTGCTTCCATTCAGGAATTCATGTTTAAAACTTGGCTTTAGTATCTACTTCAGTTTGCAAAACTTTGGTGACCTAGTTCAAAATCACTTCTGCTTTCTCTGCTGAATATTTGTTAAAGGTCAGGTAATTGGTTAAAATGTAACTAGCTTCTTAATCTCTAGGGGGCAGTATTCATGCGTCATTTAACACCCAGAAAAGTACATTGGGGTATTAACAGATTTGCAGTGTGTGGTCTTATTTGAACTGTATCTTTTCTTAAACGAGTTTCTTTGTTTTTATATGTGGTTTTATATTAAAACGAGCTTGCACTAGCTGTTTGCATCAGATTCAGAGCCTGATTACAGCAGCGTGCAGAATCAGCAGATGTATCAGAACACACACTTCTCTGGACAGCATCACGTCCTCTAGGTTTTGCAGTGACCTAAATAACAAGAGTGAAGAAGGATTTAAAAGAAAATCCTTTAATTTTAGTTGCCTGTGTTTGTTAGCTGTAATGAATGTTTTCATAGCACAGTAATTTTTCAGATCCATAGCTTCTCCAAGCTTCATTTGTCTTCCTAAGTTACTTTTGAAGTTTAGGGCAGTATGGTGTGAGGTTGTCTGTAGAGCTGAGTATTAGGTGAACACTCTGTTCACAGTCCTGTCTCTCCCCTGCCCTTTAAGGCTGCTAAAATCCTAGAAATGAAGCAATGTATTATTCTGAGCCATTTCCTGATGATATGAAAGCATTTGTGTGCAAGGAAGAGCATGAGGTTTAAATGTCTGAAATTATTTGCCCCAACAAGTTGCTAACATTGGTACAGTATCTACTAACACAAGGCAGTAGTATTAGTTAAGAGCTAGGATAAGACAGTCCGTGGGAAATTCTTATGAAAACTAGGTTGACTGAACATAAACGGCTTCACTGTAATTAGCAGTTAGAAATGTATCCTTAGACTCTATTTGCTAATGCTCCTCAGCTATTTTAATTTAAAAAAAATGTTTTGCTAGCCTTTCCAATAGTTGTTACTGATTGACTTGATGGTAATGGATGTTAAGCTTATCCCCTTTCTGAGATGCAAAGAATCAGTCTGGTTCCACCCCTCAAACTTCCTGGTGTCTATGTTTTATTGCAGAAAAGAGAAGCAAAATCTAAAGTTTGGTATCTCTCAGTTCTTTTACCCCTCGTATTTTCCGGCAGAACATTACTAGCTAACAGCCAGTGCTCAGACTGCGTATTTGGTGAGAACAGTCTGCGCATTCGGATTTGTCAGCATCCTCACTGTGAGCGATGCATCAGCTGCTAAATGCTTCAAATAGAGACCTCTGCTGGCTGTGCAATACAAACTGCATTCATATGGAATTTTGTTTTCAGTTTGTCTGTATCTATAACTTTCCGACTATAGTTAGAAGTATAGGGAATAGAATCTACAGATAATTTTAATAAAAAAGTTCATACTTAATACAGGCACTTTATCAGCGTTTATCAGTAGTTTTTTAAACTTTGTTTAATCTGAGTAACCTGTTTAATGTAAAATTTCCCCTAGAAAACTAAGAGCAAAATCAGGTCTTCCAAATTTTATAAAAGCAGCTTTTTCCAATATACAGTAGTAATAGTCTTTGTATAGTCATTTTGATTAGACGATGGAGAGCCTGACTTTCTCTGGTATCTGGGCTCTTTCTTTTCCTCTGCAAAACTAGAGGCTGTGCCTTAAAATAAAAGGAATAAAGGTAGCATTGCAGAATGCTGCATCTGGAGAACATACATGTCCTTGGAGATCGTACAATACATTTAACAGTTCAGTGCATGGTAAGTCACCTTGTGTAATATATAACTGAACAAAGCTGACTGCTGGGACTGTTGCTTACATTGGCAAATTTGTATATTCATACTGGCTTGGGTTATGTAAGTTTGCTTCGAGTCTTAGAAATGTTTCATTCCAATTATACAGTCTTGGAATGTGTCTAGTTTTCAGCTCTAGGAATCATCTTATACCTTTAACAAAAGGAACTTTTCTAGTGATGGAACATGGATGTATAGCTGATGTACTAATTAGCAGTCATTTCCCTGCAACTGAGCAAGAGGGTGATTGGTATTTCAGGTAATATTAAAAAACTATAGTCCAGTAAGCAAATCAGTTAGTTATATTGGCAGTGCCAGATAAAACGAGGGAAGAAAAGGATGTCTGTCTTGGTTTTAGTGTGGCTCAGAGCAGTCATGCAAGGAATTGGAATGTGAATAATGAACCTTCCAATTCCTCTTAGGACCTATACAGAGAGGTTGCTTTGTGATTCTTCTCTGCCAGTCGTCTTATCGGTTCCATGAAGGGGGTCAGCGTTTTGCAGTGTTTCCTTTTCCAATTGGGCAGCACAAGCCAAATTTCAAGGCAGCCAAGAGAAAGTCTTTTAGAAGGGCCAGAGCAATGACATGCTTATGTTTAAGTGTGAAAGGGTGAAAGACAGGTATCTTCTCTGCAGTACAGTAATTCCAACACTTTAGGCCGCCAGTTAGGTATCAGTGTTATATTTATAAGCTTGATTTGACTTATTATGGAGTGAGAGATGTGAAGGGTGGAATAAGGAGGCCAGATGGGTTGGGGAAAACTTTGCCAAGCAAAAGAGACCTTCTTTCTATTAAAGGTGTATATGATCCAACATTAAGATTGCTTTTGCATTAAATACCATGTTAAGCTTTTCTTCACATGCTGTTTCACTTAAAAGGTTCTCACTTCAGTCATCTCAAGCTATAACACAGTAAATCAAAACAGAGAGACAATCCACTTATTACAGATTACTTCTACATCTAAGGGGAGGGAAATTTGTGGGCAGAGAAGGATGTACAGGCAGAAGCTCTGGTTCCTTGTGTGGTTTGTATTTAAAAGAACATTGGAAAAGGCATGCCATTCATGAAGTAACATACAGGCTATTTTAATTTAGCTTCTACTTAAAGTAGCAGACTTACATTTCCAGTGTTCAGCTGCTGTATAATAACTCTCAGTAAGAAGCCCTTTGATCTTTTTGCTATGTTATATAAAGAGTTTTCACATATATGAGGAAGAGTATTGTATAAATGTGCGATTATCTGTATCAAGTCTTTATACAATTTAAACTTTTCAAATTTATTCGAAATACGATTATTTTGGGGCCCTTCTTGATCCTTGGCATTAAAATGAAGTTTAATTATTTTTTCAGGGTAGCCTTTACATAATAAAGGAATTTAAGTCATTAATTGATTAGCTTGTTTAGCAAAACCCTAATTATTGCACTTCACTGTGAGGTGAGGGGGGTGTGGGAATATAGCTATGTTAATTTTTCTCCCCTTTCTGTATTGTCAGTTGAGGCGTCAGTTTATGGTGTCCAAATGAGAAAATCTAGAGACCGCTTTCCAGTCTAGATGTAGTAAAACAAATACAATAGGGAAAGCTGCCAGATGATTCAACACTAATTGGGTTGATAAACAAGGGAGGACGGATCTAAATTATTGCATTAGGTATCACAAAGGCTGTACTTACAGTGGGATTCTTTATTTCCTTAAGCCTCTTTTCCATTGGGAGCCGGGACAGCAAGCAAGTTTAGGATCCATTCATCCAGTTTGGAATTACAAACATGGACAGATACTCTGCCTATTTGAAGCATTACTTCTTGTTTACACAGTGTGAACAGATGGACTTCAGGAACTTGGAAATTTTTTAGGGTGGTTTAATCCTCAGTGAGAAATGGGTCCTATCACTTGTGATGTATGTAAAAACATATTGACTATATGTAATGGATTTGCATGATGTTGTGCATGCAAGATAACTTGTTAGTGTTCTGAAAAAAAATT